TTTATCGAGACTTGCTGGCGCTTCTCAGAAGAAGCCTCTTTTCAAATGCAGCTCTCTCATTCTGCCGCGACGACTGCTTGTTCTTCCTCGGTTAGCATGAAGTCAGCTAAATTATCCAAACAACTCTTCACCGATTCCTCGAGTCACTTAGTTCAGAAAAGGCATCATTCGCATCCAAGCGGTCTTTTCTCTCAGCAACATATCGTTGCTCCGGCAGCCGCGCCCACTCCATCTTCGCCTCCACCATTGCCTCAATCTCCTTCCTCCCCGACAACAATAGACTTTACTATGTTCCCTTCCAATTCTGGTTCTTTTCTTCATTCCAATCTTGCTTCAAACAACTCCACCTCGACCAATAGCTCAGTCTTTAAAGCCAACAACCTCTCTCATTCAACTGTGCCATGCGACCATCGACTCTTTTCTAGTCGTTTGGAGTGCTCACCAGATTCTGTTGCTCCTCCAATCTCCACTTCGGTACCTTGTTATTGTGACGATACTCTCAGCCCTGTTGGTCAGCATCCAGTCTCCGCGCCTCCTCCTTCGCATGCTCGTCTTGATTCACCCTTGCCCGTGCAATCTGCTGCTTCTTTTTCCTGTCCACTTCATCTTACCACATCTCCTCCGCCAACATGTCCCATCAACCCACAGCCTGATGCATCCGCAAGTCGTATTGCTTTCTCCAGCTGCTCTGAGAGGGTTGCAACCTGTTGCCCAACCGTTGGACTGCAGTCGTCACGTAGATCCACGCTCAACTCGATAGCCAGTAGTGCTTTTTCGCGACTGTCAAGTGCTCGTAACAAACTACCGTCCCAACAACACCAATTATTGCGCGAAGAGGTCACGCCTGGAATGGGAGTTGGAAAGAAAGGCCTTCGCATGTCTGAGCCTGTATCTTCTGATGGCAACCCCCAGGCTACAACTAAGTCGCATCAGCCAAGGTATTTCTGTACCTTATTTGCTTGGATCCACCAAACCTTTTGCAGATTCACATATTTTATCGGCATGACATTCCCCATCTAATTGGCTTGTGCTTGTCCTTTCCTATCCTTTTTTCTTCCCAAATAATCATGTCTGCTCAGTTTTGGGCCATGCTACAGCCTCTCTTAAAGCTTGCGTAAATAGTTCAATGTTGCAAAAATTCAATATTGAGTCTTGAATTTGAGTTATGAATGTGTTTATACGTTAACCTTAGGTTTGGATCTATTCCATCCAAAATTAGGCTTCATTTATCCAGATGTTGCTACTCATTTGCTTTTTCTTACTCGATTTATTCAATTTTGATGAACACCCTATCAATTGTTAGGAATTAAATAATTTAGGACAAATTTCTGGACCGAATATTTCAGCACGCCCTCAAGTATGGCTATTTTTCGTATCAGAAAGTTGTGAGCTACTATTTTTGTACAATCTTTGGTTTTGGATCTGATTATGGTTCATATTTTATTAGGAAGTTGGAGATGATCTTTTCTAACACCGAGCTTTTAACCAGTTTTGGGATTGCAGAATGGTAAATATATATTTTTTTCTCTTTATATTTTTCATAAATCCTTCCCAGGCTATCTAACTTTGCATTATTTTCTTCTGAAATATCCACTTACAATTATCTTTATTATTATTGCCACTTTATTCCTTCACATACGAAATTCTTTTCAGCATATCTCTCAGTAAGCAAGCCTAGTATACCCCCTTTCACGTTTTCTTTATCGCTGAGATTTTTAGTGATGAAAGCATTTTACTTTGGCCATTTCTCACGTATTGCGAACACTTGACAAATAATGATGCGTCATTTAGAAAGTTAGATGACTTTATTACGTCTTAGCTTGTTTAGATTGTGATCATTAAATTGGACAAGTTTGCTTAGAGGTCATTTCGAAAGTGAGAATACA